GTGGGCTTGGGGTTCCCCGCCCTGCTACCCTCCCCTCACAGGCCTCTACAACCCAGCAGGTGGGACCTAGTGTGGCAAAGCGAGACAGGGAGGCTTGGTACTGCGGGGAGCCCTGCACTGCCATGGTAAGGTACCTCAGGACTGCTTGGCACTAGCAGGGGCCACAACTCCACACCACCACCCCCTCTGCTGCTAGGTGGGTAGGGGGCGCCTGGTGGTAACAGGACCCCCAGCAATGGCATCGAGCCTCCCCACCCCGCTCTGTCATGCTAGGTCCTGCCCGCCAGGCCACTGAGGTCTCCAGGGGGGAGGCCAGTAGGACAGGGAGCCCCGAGCCCGCAGCCACCAGTCCACATCCATCCCCACCCCATGTACAAAACTGGAGGCCCACGTCCCTCTCACCCCCCCACCCAGGAGTGTGCACAGTGGTGGGGAGCCAGCTCCCCAGAGGAGCAGCCCGTGTGGAGCTGCTCTCCATGCTGCCTGGCTGCCAAGTGCACATATGTGCACACATGTATACTTGGCACCCCCTGCTTGACGGCCCTCCTCCCGCTTTCCCCAGCCCCCTGCAGACTGGGGTTCTGCCAGCATGCAAGGGGAAACCTTCTGTTTCCTGTGTTTTTCTTCTTTGAAAGGAGAAAATGTGTGTTTTTTTTTCTATAAAATAAAGAAAATCCCGTGTTTTTCCGTGGCAAACAGAAAACCCAGATCCCTGTATATAACTCACAGAAAAGATTGTGATAATCAATGCAATCCTCATTCTGAATTAGGTAAAAAGACTTGATCTTGCATTTTCCATCTTTGTGCAAAAATGCATTAAGCATCCCTTCCATTTAAAATGAGAAAAAGTAAAAGATCCATAACTTGCATTCTGAACAAGATGGAAAAGAAGCAACAATGTATTCAAAAGATCTTAATGCAGTGTCAGAATGCTCTCTATTCAGAGTTTGTTAATGGTACAGCTGAAGATAAAAGGATCTCTGTAACTTCAAATAAGGGATGTCTACAACACAGAAACAACAAAACAAGCAGCAAAATCCTAAAAGGCTTATTCTGCTATTTTCAGCCTTTGTGTAAAAAATAAAACAGCTTCAAATGGAACACTTAGTTGATGTGTCCCCTCTCATCATAAATTAGTTTCTGTACTTAAACACTTACCTTTATGTCTGTCTATTTTACTACTGTTTGCTATAAATGACATTTCTTCTGGCCAGCTCATGTCTTTGTTTCTAACTAGAAAGAGATAAGATACAAGAAGGTTCATTTTTTAACCTATTCCAGATAGCTTATGTTGCAAAGAAGTTACTTTATTTCCAAATATTTATAAAAATACACCTTAGAAACTTGTTAACCTTCAAATTGGTTTTCATTTTCAGTTCTGTTTCTAATTCATTAACTCTGCTTCTTCCAGACATTAGCGTTAATATTGAGCTCTCTTTCCACTTGCAAACTCCATTTTTCAGGGGTTAGTGTGTTAATATTTTAAATGGCACCAAGCCATAATTAAACAAATTCATTTACATTCAGATACAATATGTTTCTCATTGACGAAAAGATAATTTTCAGTTACAGAGCAACAACAGATTCAAATGTAGTCTCATTTCAGGACCCTGCCTCATTCAGTGGCCTTTTATAACCCTTTGTTTTCTAACTATACTCTAGCAAATGTTATAGCCTTTACTTTCCTAAGGCTTGCAAAAACAAAAAACCCCAAAATCCCCCAACACTTTTCTATGTTTTCCAGGGTGTTTTTTGATGTGTTAATCAGCAGATTCAGGACAGTGGGTTATATTTATTGCCTTGCACGGAAAATGTAACATGGGGTATGTTTCTCTACCAAAAGTTTCATATATAGGCAAATTATTTGATGGTTTAAATGTATAAGCCAGTAAATCTCCATTATCTTCTTTTATACCTTCTATTACTAAGTGCTGCTCATCTTTGATCTTCAGATACTCCAGCCTATGATCCTCATCATCCAGGAGAGAGAGATGATTCTGAAAACAAGCAAACAAAAAAGAGCTTTACTGTTTAAGCATTTCTTAGCTCCCCACCCCTGCCACCCACCTGAGGTTATTTTGTTTTAAATCTTAAAGCAATGAAGCACGTTGAACCGATATGCTTAGTAGCTCCCTTAGCCAACTCAGAAAGAGAAGACCCACAGCTTTAGATAATGTTAAGAAGAAAGGGACAATAACTAAATCCTAAGACTTAGTAAAGGTCATCTTTGCCCATATATAGGCGATTTAGGTTATTCACGCTGCATCACAAGAGTTACTTAAATCAAAGTCCCATTTATACGCTATGACTTACCCGTGACACTTGAACAAGACTTGCTATTATTTCTAAAGTAACATGCTGTGATCTTAACCTCTCTAGAGAGTAGTATTCGAACCATTCTTAAGGTGCTACCTCTTGGTCAAGAGCCCTCCGCAGAGAAGCATACAAAAGAAAAATGCAAATGAAGTAACCAGTTCTCATTGCAGAAAGATCAGAGTAAACTGCATAATGCCAACTAATTTGGTTCTTCTCTGGCATGTTAGTAAGACTGTGCACTGTACAGATTTCAGTTTATTAAATCTGATCTAAATCTCTGAGCATTTAGATTTGCACAGTAAGATAAAAATATAAACATGCAAATAAGGAATGGAAACTGGACAGTTGCTGATTTACATACAAACAGATAACTAACGGAGAACGGGTTGTATGTGACGGAAACAGTGCGCGCATTTACACGTACATTAACACGCTTTAGTTAAGGTGCATTATATCTAGTACCTCCAGGTGCCTACACATAAGCGCCAAACAGGTTCCAATGCACTGGAATTCCAGCGCGTCAGAGAAGCCTCGATTAATAAAGTCTGGTGGAGCGTGGCAATTGCTGTGCTCCAGCAGCCTCTTGCGTCTCATTTACCAGCATCAGATGGGCTTTAGTTCAAACACCCCTGCCACCATTTTTAAGCACAGGGATGCGATACAGGAGACACAGCAGTACTTTAATCACAGCAGTACTCGGAGCCACTCTAAAGTGCCATCCCCTCCCACCCCCAGAGCATATATGCAAGAGAGCCCTCCATTGTGCAGTACTAGGAAAATGTGCATTAGCCCATCTTAATGTGCATTAACTGAAGAGCATAGTTTTTTAGTGGCACTTAAAGTGTATTAGCCTATTTTAATGTGTATTAACTAAGTTACGGGTTTTGTGCATTAAAATAGGCTAATGAGCATTAAAGCGAGTTTAAGGTGGTTGTACTAAAATTATACACTAGCTTTAATTATTTAAAAGTTGCAATATTTTAAATATATGACCAGATAAATTAGAATACATGTATATAAACATCAGACTAAAATTTAAATCAACATTCTTGATCAATAAACCCAAAGATTCAAAAGTTGGAGCTAGAAGTAAAAACAAAAAAAAATTAACAGGCACACGCAAAAGGCAGCCTTTAGTACCATATTTTGGCCCAAGCTTTCAGATGAAGATGTTTAAAGTGAATATGCAACTCTGATGCCTTACCCGATGTATTTATTTTTAGTGTTTAAGAGCATATTGAAGAAAAGTGCAGAGACAACATTCAAAACCCTTAGAAAAGTTTGTTACCTCACTGTAGTATATCCATAGCCTCATGTCTTCCTCTTTTATTCGTAACCTCTGTGACAGGTATTCATGTATTTCTTTAATAGTCTGCATCCGACTAAAGCAGCCTGTATAAGCCAACACCCGTTTTAAAGGAGCGTTGGGAGAAGGTACATTCCCTGCGAGCATAATCATGAGAGAGGCAAAGATGATCATAATGCACATGCAAAAGTAACAAGCAGATCACTTTAATAAATTATTCCTGAGACGTTCAGGTTAAAGCATTTTGCAAAAAAACAAAACAAAACATAGTGCTAACTCGTCTTATTGTAGACCTAAAATGGACCGTAGTGGAACAGCAGGCTTCATTATACCTGTGGAGATAGTTCGCACGCCACACTAGAACTGGGTTAGTTTCCACTTGAGTTGCTATGACCAGCAACCTCACCCTTGCTTCTTGCCAAACATTTAATAAAGGGACTTTCTAATGAGGCTCTCACGGACAGGAAATAATCAGTTTAAAAATATGCCATAAGATTTACCAGCGTCACAAACTGGATGAGATGCGGAGGTCAAAAGGTACTTTCAAAAATTAAACTAAAATAGCTTCCTTCAGGATAATCTTATAAAGGATGTTACATATAATGAAAGTGCTAAAACATTCCAGGTCACTGCTTTGTGCTGGAAAGCAGCACCACTTTGCTGCATCTCTTCTAGAGAGATGACTGTTTATCTGTGAAAATTAAATCAGTCCAGCACTTTTACAAGTGGCTTACTCTAAGGCTGAAGACCTGCGCAACATTTTGGGAAGATGCCTAGGAATTCAACATTCACACACAAGTCTGCAATACTAATTAACTCACTTCAGCGCAAAGTTTGCCAATACTAGCACTGTGACATACTTAGCTCATTTTCTGATCCTGAACTCTCAGATAACAAGTATCAAACAGTCTAGATTACTAAGATTTCATCTTTTACTTTTCTGGGACTTGTACAGTTTAAAACTAAGATTTTCTTTTAAAATGCCTTTAAAACAGGGGTGGATAAAATGTGGCCCGCCAGGCCATTCTATCCAGCCCATGGGGCCCCTAAAAAAAAAAAAAATTAGAAAGTTAATATACATCTGCTCCCGGCTGCCCGGCACGCGGCCCTCGATGGCTTGCCAAAACTCAGTAAAGCAGCCCTCCGCCCAAAATAATTGCCCGCCCCTGCTTTAAAACATTCATGGAGGAAAAAATGATGTATCCTAGCCCTGACTACATAGCTGTATAACTTTAAAGTAAGCAACTGAGGCAGTACATTTGCATTGACAAGAAACAAACTAATCTTAAAATATGGGAAATTACAAGATTAAATGCTATATTACAGGAGAGGAAAACGAAACCACAATCATAAGTCAGCAAGGCATCTGTTTTAACTTAATACACCAAACAAACGATTATTCCCTTAAAGATTACAAAAAAAAGCATTTTTCTAAAATTAAACATGAGGATTAGTCATAAGATTACAGCAAGAAAGCATATTTAAAAACTCAAAAAGATTAATTGATTGAAAAAATAATTAGTGCAGAGCAAAATAATTCCAAATCAAGATCAAATTTGGTATATCAGAAAAACATATGTACTTGAATTAGGAATTTTTAGATTTCTAAACACAGCACTTCCCACTGTACTGCATCAAGGAAGAAACATGATTTTGGACAGTAAGCAGTTTCTGAAGCATAGCTTGATCAAGCAGGCAGCCACTTATTAGAAAACTTTGGATTTTTAATATTACTATAGATTATGGATGTTTTCAAAGCAGTGAAAAATCAAGTATCTGCATAATATATTTTAAACATATTCTTACTAAAGCCAATGTACCCCTCAGATCTGATTTTCAGTGATCAAGTCTTCTTGCACCTGGGCATGCACATAAGCATGCAAATTTCCATTTGTGAATATTCAGCCATGCATTCATGCCAAAACTGGGGATCTGCACTGACATCTATAGTAGCATCAGCAACTGTGCATGCAAACCTGCTAACTGAAAAGAAACCTTGTAATGCCATTTCAGAGCTGGCTGTAAAATATTATGAATTAAAAACTAGTCTTGGGTGCAAGACCCGAGCAATCTTGAAGTGAGAATACAAATTACAACTATGTGATGTGCTTTAATTATTTTATCAGTAAATAATCTAGGATTCAGATACCACCTACATGCAATTTTGAGCCCACGGCACAAAGTTAAACTTTGTAAACTGCCTCAAATAGAGATTTCATGTCTCACTGGCTTAACCTCTTCTTATGGGAGTATATAATTCTTTGCATCACAGTTAATTACTCGGATAACTCTAAACCAACCTGAGTTCAGAGAGACATGTGAACCAGCAGATGAATGACCACCAATGAGATTTATTATACTGTAGTTCTCTACATTAAAAGGACTCTCCGAAATAAATTCAGATATAAATATTCTATAACTACATAATTGATTGCAGATGGAGACAATATGATCTGCCATCCTCAGCTGTTTTTTTATGCAGTACTTGTTTCTCACTCCCTTGCCACCAATCTAAGATTTTTTTTTAAACTACATAACTTATTTTGCTTAAAAAATGAAATGCCCTTTGCTTCCCCCTCCTGGTAGAAGAGCTGTGAACAAAGCCCTTTAAAAAGTTTTACCAATCACCTGTTCTGCT